GAGCACAGAGTCTGTTTAATCATGTTTGTTAATCACAGCCTTTTATACTGCACTTACACATACTGTGGTTCCCTTGTGGTGTCTGTGGTGCTGTGTTGCATTTAGTCTGATTTTTGCCCTCTTCTGTACTGCTCAGAAGAAGCAACTTAAAATGGTTTTGCCCTCAGGAGGCATCAGTGACATCAGCCTGCAGGTTTACTCAGGGAATCGTGAATTACTCTCCACTGAAGACTGAGGTGTTACCCTAAACATAATCCCAACATTGTTAGATGTGTGAATAGTTAATATTTTTACTGTTATGCCTCATTTTATTAGTGCATGGAGTTTTAAATTAAATCAAATTAGCACTGGGATTTAGCAGCATCGTTGTTGGTGCTTGTGTGTAATGTTCACTGTGCTCACACAGTTTTGGTCACATACCAGTGTGAGCACCTGAGCTCACCAAACCACTGAGTCTCCTTAGAAAGCACATACACTCGTAGTCATTTATTCCAGAAAATTTGTATGCTGATCATGGCCGCTCCCACCAGGAGCCAATCACAGCCACTTTTATTTTTCCTCCCTGAAATTAAAGCCGTGCGACAGGTTGCCGTTGGTCAGTGATGAGACAGAGTTCTCTCCGGGCCGATGTGAAGGGCTGCAGCCAAACAGTTTAAACAAACTAAATAAAAGGCAGAATATAGTCAGTCCCCTTGTAGCCTGGGCTAATTGTGAGTGGACGCTCCGTCCGGCCTTGTGACGAGCAGCAGTCCTTGCTGTGTGTCTTCCAGCCAGACCTGTAACTTTATATAAATAACCCAGGACGTTTATTTACTGTCAGGCTGCATCAGCGACTGATGAGCTGCTTTGATACACGCAGCACAGTGTGCCATGGGTCCTGCCTGATTTCCTGTTGCGCTCTGCCTGCCAGTTGGAGGGTCACAGCTTTATTAGGCTAAAAGCAGGCATCGGTTTCATCACAGGAAGAATTCCACGCAGGAACGGCTGTGCGGCTTTCCTTTGTTTGGGCCTGTTTTCCCTGGAGAGTCAGGGGGCACGGTGGCCTTGGCGCAGGGGCTGCCCGTGGCAGACCAGCGAGGCCGAGAGCACGCTCCAGCAGGATGACGCATAATTGCTAACAACAATCTCTTTTTGTTATTTGAGGTTGGGTTTAGTTGCTGTGTTTTGTCGGAGCCTCCTATTTTATTCATATTTCATTGACTTGGGGAGACTGCAGGGTTTGCGCTGCTTTAGGTGTGTGTGTGTGTGTGTGTGTGTGTGTGTGTGTGTGTGTGTGTGTGCGTGTACGTGCACATTCTCTGCCCAGTTATGTTGGGTCCCCATCCACCGTTACACG